CCAGTCTAGACACAGATAAAATCCTGTTTCTGTTCCACCCTCTGCCTCTCCGCAGACCGGGACGCAGGTGGTCCACGCAGAAGAGAGGCCAAGCCACTCGGAGCCAGCAGGCCCACAGGAGAGCCTGGGGCCAGAGGCGGGGGCCGCAGGCTCTTCTCTCCTAGGTGACTGAGCCTGGGCCCTCAGCTCCCAGAGAGCGGGGCCCTGTCCTTCTCAGCCTTGCAGAAAGACAAAATAATGCCACTGCTTTTGATCAGACTCCTGACACGGCCACTTTGTGATCTGTCTGGGGAAAGCAGTCATGAGCATTTTTGTCTCAGGAAACCAGGTCTTAGCGTAGTGCTTACTTTTAGACATAGCCAAGGACCCTTCTGCAGCCCCTGGAATGCTCTGGGGACACAGATTCTCTGAGTCTGCGACACTTGATTCCCTCCTGTCTCCAATTGCCGGGTCAGTCGCGGTTCCTCTGTACTTGTTGCCTTGTAAATCGTTGCACTTCAGGTGCGTCTCTTTTATACCAGGGAGTTTCGGTTTTGCTTTTGAGCCATTTAAAAAAGTTTCTTTTTCAACAGTAAGTGATGTGAATTCACGTGTCTGGATATGGCTGCTATGTTTGGTCTCGACTCTGTCATTTATAGCATGTGGCAATTACCGTGTGTCTTATGTTACATTTAACATTTCCTTATTCGGTGTGTTCTTTTTGTTTTGTGAAAAACTGGTTTTGGTACTTGGGAAGGTTTGCGTTTTCGCTCCAGTGGTTACTGATGTTAAGTGTTGGGGTTCGGGGGCGAATGGTCAAGAAAGAATTCTTGAGATGTGTTTGGTGCAAAAAGGGTGGCTTTATTACAGTACGGGGCCGGACCCCGGGGGCAGAAGGAGCGCACCTGTGTGGAGGAGTGGCTGATTGCATACTTTCAGTTGGGAGGGGGTCAGGGAGAGCCTCTGAGGCATGTGGAAGCAAGGTTTCCAGGACCCTGAGGGGTCATTTACTACTCTCTAGTAAAACCTTAGTCATGCGACCCTGCAGATGTCTATCAGTGGGTCATATGCTTGAAGGATGACTGCCAACATAGATCTTGGGGGCCCTGTCGTTTGTTAAAGTCGGCTTGCAGTATCCTGGAGGCCCGGCTGATGTCAAGCTAAGGTTGCGTTTTGCCCTTAGCCAAGTATTCACATTAAGGCATTTGAGTTCCTGGAGGAAGGTTACCCTGCCTGTCTCAAGCAGTTGTCAATGTGATGTGGGGAACAAAGGCAGAGAGAAATATAGATAAAATTAAATGTGCTTATAACCTGCAGCCCACTGACGCATCCTTGAGGCGGGCAGAGCGTAACCCTCCTCCAGGAAACTCCCAAGTGTCTTCATGCTGATGCTTTGTTAGAGGGAAAAACAACCTCAGCTTGACAAGAGCCAGGCCTCCTGGATCCTGTGAGTCTTCTTTAGCAGATCAAAGTCCTTTTGGAAACTTCCCTTTGTCTTTACCTCCCCAACCCCAAAGTCTATAACCAGTTGCTCCTCACAGTCCTGGGGCAGCAGCTCCTTCTGCCCCCGGGTCCTGTCCCTGTGCTTTAATAAGACCACCTTTTGGCACCAAAGAAGTCCCAAGAATTCTTTCTGGGCCCTTGGGTCCAGATCCCAACATCACTCCAAAACCACATCAAATGGACTGTAAGTTATGAGGAAGTTTAAGACTCTATAATGTATAAATGGTGTCCCTGAAGAAGAAAATTATAACAACGTAACAAAACTACCCTTTAAAATGATAACCCTTGACGGGGCCCTGTGTAGCTGTCAGCTGGGCGACCGTCCGACTCTTGATTTTAGCTCAGGTCATGATCTCAGGGTTGTGAGATCCAGCCCCGTGTCAGGCTCAGCGGGGAGTCTGCTTGAGATTCTCTCCCTTTGCCCCTCCCCCCAATTCGTGCACAGGCTTTCTTTCTCTCTCTAAAATAAATAAATAAATCTTTAAAAAAATAAAATAAAATTTACAGGGGTGCCTGGGTGGCTCAGTTGGTTAAGCATCTGACTCCTGATTTGAGCTCAGGTCATGATCTCAGGGATCTGAGACTTGAGCCCCACGGCTGGCCCCACACTGGGCGTGGAGCCTGGTTAAGATTCTCTCTGTCCCTCGGCCCCTCCTGTCTCCCCCTCGAGGGCACTCTCTCTCTCTCAAAAAATAAATAAAATTTAAAAAATAAAATTATAACCCTTGAAGACATTCCAGAGATAAAAGATGCAGATGTACATAATTGAAAGGACCTACTGGGTGCACCAGGAGAAATTGATCCAGAATGATCCGCTTAGACATATCCTAGCAAACCTTCTCCATAGAACGAACCTTCCTGGCCCTTCTCAACTATCATGTCCTCTCTAATCTCCTGTTGCCAGGGCCTGGCTGTTCGTGCCCTTCTCTCTCTCCTGGAAGTTTATTTATGCATCTGTCAGCTGTCCAGGAGCAAGAATTCCTGTCCCCTTCAAAGGTCCTTCTGGCTGAACTAAGAATCAAGTGGCTATGAGACAGATTAACAGGAGAAAATCAGATTTAATAGTGTACACACAGGAAGTCCACCCAGACCTAGAAATTCCAGAGACCAGCAAAATGCGGTCTATGTGTCATTCTGAAGTAAGAAGAGGGCAGGGGTCTCGGACTTCCAGGAAGAAATGCAATTCACAGGAAGAGGAAAATGAGCTCATGTTTGGTAAACAAATGTTTGCTGGGCCACACAGACCCAACTGGGACTAGGAGACTCTGATCAAGCAGGGCCCTGGCCCTCCCCCCGGTCTCCCACCCCTGGTTCATAGGGAGACAGCCCTCTTCCAGGAGCAGGGCCCCTACCAAATTCCTTTTTTTTTTTTTTTTTTCCTGGACGTTCTTGAAGGGGAGGCAAGGAGCTTTTCCCAAATCTGGGTTTTGATTCCTTTATAACTCAAAAATAATCTTTATGCCAAAGTGACCTATCTGGGGGTAGCCTGCCCTTGGCCCCCAACAGGGCACTCACTCCAAGTTCCAGTTGGGCTGTAACTATTCACATCCTGATTGTACCTGCTGAGAACCTGTTAAATGTTTTCTCATTGTAGTCTTTGTGCATTACCAGAAGGGTACATGTTACAAAGGATAACCTCAATCTTGCTTAAAAAATCTCTTCAGCCCTGATCAAGTAAGCCATCTTTACTGAGGGGGTTTTAAAGTGTGTTGAGATCCTTCAGAGATCTCCTCTCCAACAATTCCCAGGTTCCTCGTTTTTGTAGGAGGATAATTTTCCAAGGGGCTCCTCCTTGGAGTCATGGCATCACAGTGCATCAGCCCTACTGTACAGAATACAGAGACCAGTAGCCAGACAGGTCTTGTCTGTGGTCCGTGTTGTGGGTTCTAATCCCCATGACTGGTGAATGTGACCTTATATTGGAAATAGTAAATTTGGAAATTTACGGATGTAATCAAGTCAAAATGAGGTTGTTAGGGTGGCTCTAGTCCAGTATGACTGGTGTCGTTCCAAGAGAAAGGAGAGGGAGATCTGACACAGACAGGCACACGGGGAGAAGCCACAGCAGGGGCTGAAGTGAAGTCTCCACCTGTGGGGGATTGCCAGGAGCTGGAAGAGACAAAGAAGGGTTCCCCCACAAGTGTTCAGAGCGAGCGCGGCCCTGCCCACACCTTGGTCTCAGAGGTCTGGCCTCCAGAACCATAAAGGAATAAATTTCTGTTGTTTTAAGCCACTCAGTTTGTGGTCCTTTGTTACGGCAGCCCTGGGAACATACAGAGATTCACCCTGTGGGGAAATAAAATTAGGACTTGCTCTGATGAGAAATCCAGCAACTTTTAAAAAATCTTCTTGCTTGCTATTGGGATCAGTCATGCCTACCTGTTCACTAACACTAACCCTAAAACATGAAAGGAAACATCAGTTATTCCTCACAGCATGACCTTTTATAGCCATTCACTTCAGTAGGTTTTTTTGTTAGAGACGGTTATTTTGAAAATATGGCTGTTCTTAGGATGAAGTAAGTTAGTGTTCTGAAGTACACAGAGTCAATTCTATTTCAAGTGTTTGATGAATAAAAGAACTAGGACGGTATCAACCTGATTAAGACAAATAGAGGGGTCCTATTTTATCCCCCACAGCCAAACACGTCTCGGAAGGGCAGAGACCAAGGGGGAGTCACGTTACGAGGGTTTCCATTTCACAGACCGTCAGGTGTCCTCACTCCACAGACGGAGCCGCAGTGCAGCAGGGGGAGAGCCTGCCCGTCGGCTGGGGGAGCCGCGTTGTCCTGCACACAGGGAAGGGCACAGTCTCCGGGGACGGGGGTGGGGCGCTGCCCCCCAGGGCTACACTGTGTCACTGCGCACTTCGAGTCCCGATTCATCAGCGGCCCCACCAGGCTGCGGCTGGGCTGCCTCCTCTCAGAAAGGAACCCAAACAGGGTCTGCGCTGATGTTGTGCAGCCCCCGACTGGGTGGGGATGCTGGCTGGCAGGTCCCCTGCAGCCCCCCGGAGCGTCTCGCCTGCCCGCGCCAGGCCACCGAGGGAACGCGGGTGAACATGTTCTGAGCTGGGAGGTGAGACGCCCACCCACCGCTGGCCTGATCCCAGCCTGAGAACAGGCCCCGCGCGACCCCCACGCCAAGAAGGCCGCCTGCTCGGAGGGGCAGGCGAGCCGCTCTGAATCCCCACTGTGTGCCCACCTCCAAGGGGACCTGCCGAGCCCAGGACGCCAAAGAGTATAATAAAGAAGAAAGAAAGAAAATCTGTATCCTTTATTCCAACCACAAAGCCTCTACCGAGGCGTGGGAGGCTTCCTTTCTCCCGTGCACCCGTATTCAGCCCAGATTTACAGGTACAGCGTCAGCGCACGGGCGTGAAGGGAAACGCAAATCAGAACAGCCCTGCAGTAAAGACACTTGCAAACGCACCATTCCACTTGGCAGCCGCTTTCTGACAGGCAGCGGTTTGTGCATCTCTCCAGCTTTTCAAAACAACATCCCCGTGGCCTGTGGGCGTCAGGGAGCGGTCTGCTGGGGCGGGGGGTAGAAGGCCGGGCCGTCCTCGCAGACCTCCAGCCCCGGGCCCCCGGCCCCGCCGGCCCCCCCGGGCTCCCCCGGCTCCGTGCAGTTCCGTAGCCGCAGCTCCTTGGTGAAGCACAGTTCGATCTGACCAATTGTCTGCACCTCCTCACCCTAAACACAGAAAATGAGGGACGTCTGAGAATTTGGATCTCGGAGGATCACCTGTTCTGTGGTCATCAAGTCTCAGAATCTGAAGAGACAAGGGGGGACTCCAGGGGCCAGCAACGAGTGGGGCCCCCCCACTCTGTCCAGCAGCGACCGGCGGGGGGCCGTAGGGCTTGCCGCCCGGTCACCACCCAGATGTCTCCCCCGTGCCAGCCTGGTGGCCTCGTGGGAGGGGACACCGCTTGAACCTGAGGAACGTGCGCCTGTGCGCACAGCATATGCATCATGGCATCGGGAGACGTGGTTTTGTAGAATAAATGGGTCAAAGGACCCTACTGCTCAAAGAATTTAAGTCTTTCTCGAAGCTGACAAAAGAAACTACAGTCCCTGTATCCACTAGACAAGTATCTACGGTTAAAATGATGAGACTAATAATGGAAAGCCTGAGAAAATCTCTAACTTAGAAACGTTTCGTACACCCGCCTCCTTCACCGTCCCTGCCAGAGCACGTGTGTTCTTGTTGGGGAGAAGTCTCAAGAAAACAAACCCTATTCGAGCATGGCATCGAAGAACAATGTGTGTGTGTGTGTGTGTGTGTGTAATTTTTTTTTGACTCCAGTACAGTTAACATACAGTGTCATATATGTTTCGATGTGCAATACAGCGATTCAGCACTTCCATATGACAGCTGGTGCTCATCACAAGTGCCCTCCTTCATCCCCATCACCTAGTCCCCCATCCCCCACCCCCCCTCTGGTGACCAGCAGCGTGTTCTCTAGAGTCAAGAGTCTCTTTCTTGGTTTCTCTGTTTTTCCTTTGCTTGTTTGTTTGTTTCTTAAATTCCACACAGGAGTGAAATCACATGGTATTTGTCTTTCTCTGACTGCCTTATTTTGATTAGCTTCATAGTCTCTAGCTCCATCCACATCGTTGCAAATGACAAGATCTTATTCTTTTTTATGGCTGAGTAATATTCCACTGTGTATACACATCTTTATCCATGCATTAGTCGATGGACACGTGGGCTGCTTCCACAGTTTGGCTATTGTAGATGATACCGCTGTAAACCCAGCGGCGCATGTGTCCCTTCGAATCCATGTCTAACCATCTGCGATTTGAAAGTGCACACAGCATTACCTGTATGCACACACTCCCACACACATGCACACACACACATCTCTGCCCCTGGGAACTCTATGGTGAGCACACAGATGCTGACTACGTTGAACCTGTCTTCTCGATAAAGACAGAAAGAGCAACAAAACATAGCACAGCACCTCTGACCTGTTTTGGTGGAAGACACTGGACTTTAGGTATGACTCCGTATATGCCGGCAAGGGCGTCTTTAATATCTGAAATCTGAAATGAAATAAAATGCATTAGAAATACTTGGACAGAGGCGGTGTAAGGGCTCCACTCCATGCACACGGGACACTCCGGTTTCCACGCTCACAAACACGCACAGCTGACCATAGGGCACAGTCCTCCGGGCACTCCAGGCTCGCAGACAAGACCCCGGGGACAGGCTGTCAGCCACCTGGGCTCCACGCTCAGACCACAGTGGTCCCCACATGTGCTCCACAGTCTCCACTCTCCCCCCTGCCCTGAGCTTCTGTCCACACCCAGAACCTAGGGGCTGCGTGCAATAGATCAGACCAACTTTCACGGGCCAGGACTCCTGTCTGAGCTCACATCTTGCTGCTTCTGAACCTAACAAAGTGCCTGCAGCACAGACAGGGAGCTCAAGACATTAGTTGTCCTTGGTGCTTTTACTGTCATTGAAATCCGTTCTCTGATAGGCACATTCTGGGCAAAAATGTAAACACAGTCCCCCCTGCCTGCTTGAACATGAGCCCCGAGGACCGAGGGGGCCCTGCAAACCGTCTCTCTCCTGGGGCAGCTGACACTGTCTCCCCAGGGTCGCTGTTCCCTCCCAGCCCCACTCTCGCTGCAGACCAGACATCAAGCGGAAGATCAAGATCTGATCAAGATCAAGATCAAGCGGAAACCGGCTACAGGGTAGAGCACAGATGCCAGGGAGCACAGCAGAAATGCCGACCGATTTCACAGTCGGGAGACCTAAATGAGAGCTCGGTGTGCAGCCAGGAGACGGGAAACCAGGGATTGCTAAAATCAGTAACTTTAATTCTTTTTGAATCCCAGGAGATTAAATCAGCTTATATAGAGAACACATCATGTTCTCTTAATGCAGGAGTCAGCAAGCTTACTGTGCGAAGGGCCACAGGAAGTACTTCAGGCTCCGAGGGTCACTCAAGTGTCTTTCCGTGGGACACCTGCCCACGGAGCATGACCACGGGGGACGGTAAAGGAACCCGCCGGGCTGTGAGCCAGGAAGACTCCCTTTATGAAAACAGGCTATCCTGGGTGGAAAACAGTTTGCATATGCTTACCAGACAGTGAGATCTGGTCTGTTTAAATTTCTGTAGTTTTATCATGAAAACAAAACAAAAAAAATCTTAGGCTTCTTCCTCAAACAAAATATTATAAAACGGAATGTGCTTTTCAAACCACTTACTCCCCTGCCCTGTGCGAGCCTGGAACACGCTTCTCACCGAGGGACCATGAACCTAGGCTTCAAGGTTTACGCAGCTTTCAGATCACACTCAGTGTGCACTGGGAAACAAGATATAAATAAAGCCTACTTGGAAACATAATAGTCAAATAGGAGAGGGCTTGTTCGAGTCACTTTAAAACCCAAGTGCGGTGCTCAGGCTGCAGACACTCTACCGTGGGTGGATGCTAGGTGTCCTCAGGTGGCAGACACATATTCAGTTATGAAGCTGAAAGCAAGACTTACCTGGTAGTAATTGATAGATGGCTTTATTCCCAATTTTTGGAGCATGCTAAAATTTAAATTAAAAAAAATTACCTGTATAATAACATACATTTTCCTTTCTGGTTCTTTTAAAACATATTTCCTAATAAAAATGAAGACACTCTTAAAAGAAAGCACTTATTTTCTATTGCTTTGGGCAATAAATCTGTGAGCAAGGACAGCACATAAATGGGACTCGGGCTTCCCTGACGACCCCTCCCCACAGCGCACCCACTGCGGATCTCTCTCCAGCACCCGGACGGTTCTCGACAGTGGCCAGACGGCCCGTACCCACTGGAGTTGGCACACACATTACCACCTATTTGCCAAGCCTGCTTCAAAAGACAGTTAGCAACTGATTTTGGATTCTAGGCTTATCCAAGAAAACCACACTTGGTCAAATCTTTAAATACATTCAACACCCACAGACTTGAATCATTTCCTAAAGCATATGGTTTTGACCAGCTATCCCATCAAAATACCATATGACTAATTTACCTGTTAAATGATGGAGCACAATATAAACAATTCTCAGATTAACAGTCCCAAAACAACACTCGAGCCTCCATCACGTCTCCCTGGATTATCCGGGCTATGACCACCCAGAGCAGACGCAAGACCCGCGCTGCCTCTCTGGACACGGACATCGTCAGATGAGTCTGCCCGAGGAAAACCGGACTGACCAGGGCACGCCTCCTCCAGCCGTGATTTCTGGCAACAGTATATATTGTGTTAACAAGACAGTGTTTGTAAAGACAGCACACCACCAAGTGTCTGGATCTCTGCTGTAGCGCTCCTGGCCTAGGCAGGAGGAGGTGGTGGGCAAGGGTCCTTGGAGCCTCTAAATAAACGTGCCCACGGCCTGTCCTCATGCTATCTGCACAGTATAAACACCAGATTTCAAAAGCTCTGGCTCCAGAAATGGAAAACTTCGCAAATTTTAAATATTTATTTCAAGTTGCAGTATTTTGGATACATTGAGTTAAATAATATAAAATCAATTTCAGTGGTTTCTTTTTGCTCTTTTTAATGCGGTACTAGAAAATTTTAAGTTACATATATGGTTTGCATTATTTTTCTACTGGGCAGTGTTGCTGAAGAGCCCGAGTCAGGTCACCAAGGAAGTGAGGCAGAGAGAGAGAAATATTTGGGGAAGCCTGGCATTCAGCCCAGATTAGTCTATATAATGTTTTCTATGGCGTTAAGATTAGATTGGCATTGATTTCCTGGCCCGTGTCTGTGGGTTATCTAAGATCTCTGGTTCACGATACTTTGCATTTTTCAGGTTTGCTACCTTCATATTATAAAGTGAATAAAACACTGCTAGTTTATGATGACATGACAGGCTTCCCTCTGAGAAAAAGATAATCTGTGGTAAGGGTTTATAATATAGAGAAAAATACAAGGGATCTTCTGTTTTTGACTTGCTAATTTTGTGAGTACTGAGATTTTAGATTTTCCTTGGAGGAACGGGGAAAGAATATACTTTCTCTACAACTCTATTCCCATGTAGTCTGACAGACCTCATATCCCCCGCAGAGCGTTGTGTTCAGCAGGCCCCGAGTGCACGTTTCTGCAGGAGGAATAAGCAGGCGCCCCCAGCAGTGGTGACGGCCTTGCCGATGCTGCAGCGACCCCAGGACTGGGGATCCTGCACACGTGTGTGCACACGGAAAGCTACAGAGATTCAGAAAGTGTAAACAGGAGGTACTTAATAGTTGTTGGATGAAAGGACGAATTATTTAGATGTTTTATATGAAGCCTTTCAGCAGTGCCCATTCACTGCCCTTTTCCTGACTGAGCAGAACCGGGCTTGGGCAGTGAGCCGGACCTCGCGCTGCTCAGGCGTCAGGAAAACCTGGGGCAGCCCCCTCTCTGCAGACGGCTCGTGAGTGGACCCCGCTCTGCCAGTCTGCACCGCGGAAACTCTCCCAGGTAACCCTCACGAGGGTGTCTGGACTGGGTATCACCTGCACTTTTGGGGTGAGGAAATGTTCCCAAAGGTCTTGCTCTTGCTATGAGAAGAGCCTGCAGAGAAGCCCAGCAGGCGGGAGCCGGGACGCATGGCTGGCGTGTACCCCCCAGCGGTGGTCCTCAGTCCTGCGGGTCCGAGAGCAGGAAGGCGTCGGAACCTGTGGGGACCCCTCCGTCATCTTCCGGCACGGAGACGCAGAAACTACACAGGGCACAGCGGGCCAGCGGCAGCCGCAGGACCCCAGGCACATGTGGCTCTGAGGACTCCTTTGCAGGGCGTAGCTCAGGCAGTCTTGTTCTCCCCGCCGGGGCGCTTGCCCCTCCCCACCCAGATCCCAGTGACACAAGGGCCCGGCTGTGCCTCTGTACGCAGGGGGAGTAGAGCACATGTGCAGAGAACGGATGCGGGCCTACGCATCTCCTAAGCAGATGTGGTTCACAAGCTTAAACACAGGTGAATAGCAAAGGCGCTCAGTAGGATTCTGGCTTCTTCTAACTAAAGCAAACTATCTAATTTCCTGTCCTGGTCTTTAAAACAAGGTCACAGGTTTATTATGTGACCACTTAAATGAAGAAAAGCAAGAATTCCCCACACACCTGGTCACCAGAAATGCTCAGACAGTGGACGGCCAGCCTCACCCCCAGCTCTCGGTCACGGGCCGGGCAGGATGAGCAGGTGGGGCCCTGGCCCTCAGCAGGACCATCTGGAGGGGGTTTTTACGAGTTCTGGGTCTGGGTAATTTCTAGGCTCCGAGGACCCCTGCCTAGTACCTCCTCCTGCTTGTTCCAGAAACACCAGAGCAGAGATCCAAACACTTAGTGATGCACAGTCTTTACAAAACCTGCCGTGTTAATGCAATAGACTTTCGTCAGAAATCCCGGCTGAAAGACGCGTGCCCTGGTCAGTCTTGTTTCCTCTGGCCAGCTCACCGTCCGACGACGTCCGAGCCCAGACAGGGCCCTACGTCTCCGAGGCTACTCTACGTGACCACGGCCCAGACTGACCTGCAAGGCTGGGTGGGAGATGCTAGGATTCCTCAGGACAGTTCTGCGGCCTGTGAGGGCCAGGGCCCAGGGGGCCCCCTACCTGTTAAGCGCCAGCCCCTGGTACAGGTCCAGGCTTCCACCGAAGTATTTCTTCTGTGAGTTGAGGGCGTCTACCTGGGCGGCACAGGTGCCGTGCTTCTCCCACTCATGCTTCCTGGGAGAGTGTTTTAATAAAGAATCTCCGGTTAAAAGTCATGAAACAGACTCACAATGAAGAGTTCACACCTAGGACAGGATATTCGCACGCATGTTGTTTCTTTTACGAATAAAGAGGCTAAGATTCCTTATGTGCAACGGGCATGACTCGTGAGCCCCCTGCGCTTGGGAATGAGGCCCCAGGGGACAGAGTCCGGTCTCCAGAGGGCGCTCCATCTCCCTGCAGCCCCTCCCTGCAGTCAGGGACAACTCCGGTGACTCAGCACGAACCCCGGCTGAGGAAAAACAAAGCGCCCCCACGCAGGCAGGCACCCAGCCATCACGGGGCCCGGGTGTTTTGCTTCACAGGGACGCCAACCGGTCCTTTCTTTATTTTTTAATTTAATTTTTTATTTTTTTAAGATTTTATTTTATTTTATTTGACAGAGAGAGACACAGCAAGAGAGGGAACACAAGCAGGGGGAGTGGGAGAGGGAGAAGCAGGCTTCCCGCCGAGCAGGGAGCCCGATGCAGGGCTCGATCCCAGGGCCCTGGGATCATGACCTGAGCCGAAGGCAGACGCCCAACGACTGAGCCACCCAGGCACCCCCGACCGGTCCTTTCTAAGCAGCTAGCCAAGAAGAGGGAGCAGCGCTACCTCCTGAGAATGCCACAGGCCCGCTCCCCAACTCCGCCTCTGCCCATCACGACCGTGTCCTTGTCCGCCCACAGACAGAACTCCAACAGAACACGCGAACAGCAATATGGATTCGAGAAGAATATTGTTGATAACAATTCCCCATGTTCTATTGCAGTTAACTAGGAAATTTCACATTCTTCTGCAAGGCAACAATACTGCTGGCTTAGAAATGGGGAAACTGAGGCAGAGGGGCTAGCGAGGCGCCCTGCTGAGGCCACTCAGCCAGGAAGTCCCAGAGTCTGCACCTGAACGGCACTCTGGACTCTACAGCCGAGGCCCCTCCGGCTGCACTGCAGCGCCATCCCAACACCCCAGCAACGCGGGGTGCACCGCCTTCACAATCGCGGACACTGTCGAGTGGGACGTTAGCCATCATTAGCGTGGGAACATGGAAGGAGCATTCATGAAGGCGTCCTATGCTGTCTTACAGAAGTGTGATCTGAATGGACACTGATGCGTCGGTAAAGCTCATCCACAGGGCCAGTGTTAAATGACAAGTTGCTCCAGCCCAAGAAAACGGCGTGGGAACAGCTACCTTTCTTCATCTACCACGGTTTCTGGGGTGAATTATTTCCACAGAGTAGAAAAAGGAGTTTCTTTCCGACTAGATGAAAATGGAACCCGAATTACAGACGCCCTCGTTTCTGCGGAGCTGGAATCATTCTAGAACCTGTCATACAGTGTGCTGGCGGAGCAATGAGCTTCGTGCCGTTCCCAGCACATAAGACATATTCAATAAATGTCAGTTGTTATTACGTTTGGATCAAGTTCAGCTTAAGGATCAGAATCTATTAGAGCATTGTTAGCGTACATCCAACATTGACTCCCACATCACCTGGAATTGGACAGTTTGCATTTAACACGAAATGGTCAGTTACCGGGCAGAGGTGCCCATCCGGTGGCCCTGTCGCCCGCCAGGAGGGCACACGAGCAGGCCCGGGGGCTGCCCTCTGGGATGAGAGGTGGGGGCTCCTCCGGGACATTGAGGCCCAGGACACCTCCCACAGTGAGGCTGCTCGCCAAACTGGGCCTCACTCAACTCTCATTCTTCTTCGTGCAAGCATCAAAAAACAGAAATCCTACTTCGCAGGGGGCTCTGTCCAAGGTATTTTTCAATGTGGCAAATTTTATGAATAGGTTTAGTCTTAGAGAATTATCTCGAGCATAAAGTAATACCAAGACCATGTACTCTGCATACTTGCTTCCTATTTGGGATAAAAGAGGACAGTTTTCGGACAGGAGCCCTCCTCCACCCCCGGCCCCCAACGACGAAGCCAAGATGGACAGGCCTGAGTGCCTCTAGGACCCTCTAGAAACTCACACAGCAAAGGGAATTTGGGCAACAGGGAAGCACGACCCAACGCCGCACGCAGGGGGCCAGTGACGGTGACTGCCCTGTACTCGGGCGCTCCAAGAGCATAAATACTAAGGAGAGTGGGACAGTCACCTCTGAGTTTACAACAGAAGTTTTTAGATGTGCTACTTACTATCCAACCTGAAAAAGTATCATTTTGCCTTTACAGAGCACAAACATGTGTACTCTGCCCACACTATTACATGTTCAAGGACCAGCTCGGACTGACTGCCTTCTTTATGGGTGTTTGTTGATTTATTGTTAAGTCACCTGGCAGCAACAATCTGACTGATGGTGTCATGGAACACATCGGAACAAGTGAACTATACTTGGCATACTTTGTGCAGATTCGGCATTTTACGTGCACTGGGAAGTGCTGTAGAGGGTTCCCCCTGCGTTCCCCTATCCCCCCACTCTAGCTAAGTTGGGCGACAAGTCCTGGGAAAGCGTTCTCTGGAATGCAGCTGTGCAGAACATGTGTCGGAGACCCGGGCCATTCCTCTCCCTAACTCTGAATGCTTCTGTTGAAGAGACCTGGGGGGTAGACCCCAGGGCCACGCCTCTGCCACACTGGTCGGCCTAAGCACCAGGGAGCCCGGGGGACAGGCACCCAGCGCCCCTCCATGGTTTCAGAAAGCTTCCATCTACACTTAATTCCTTTCCTGAATGTTCCACACACAAATATTTCCAAACTGAATTAATCATTTTGGACAAAATCTGAATAATTGCAATGTGAATTATAAACTGCCACACTGGAGCGAGGCAGAGACAATAATTATTTTTGGTTAATATAATGTGAATAAAAGGAATGTTCATTTTACCTTCTTCAAAAGCAATGACTTAAAAAGCTATCTTGAGTTAAACACAGCATTTTTCTCCTTGGCTCAGCTCCCACTACACTTAAAGATGTTTCTGCGGATCGAGCCGCAGGTGGGACCTCACCCTGTCCTCCCTAAGTCGTAGCACGGGACCGCGATCTTCTGAAGTGCCTCTTCTTCTTCCTTGATGTATCTCGAGACAACAGCACAAAGTCTTTAAGAAACATTCTCTCCTGCCTGCGTCGAAGCAACTGCCCCTTAGGTACCCATGTATTTGGCTTAATGAAACCTCAGGAAAGGAGAGTCTAAAACAAAGTGATGAATGAAATAGCGGATTAAGAGCAACTCTATAAATTCCACTTGCCTGCATTTTTTTTTTCAAATACCCAGCACAGAACCCAACGTGGGGCTCGAATTCACAACCCTGATATCAAGACCTAAGCTGAGATCAAGAGTCAGATGCTTAACTGACTGAGTCACCCGGGCGCCCCTCGCCCACATTTTTTATCTATTGGAGAAAGGCCCTGAAAATGGCATCCCAAATAAAACGTGGTTCACACATCTGCGCCTCAGAAGGGCGGCCCCGTGGTCTGTCCCTGCGCTCCCAGCCCGAGGCTGCGGCGCTCCTGCACTCACCAGAAATGGCTGTGATTTAGTGGATGGATCACATCAGGCCAGTACATCTTCATTTTGGGCAGAAGGTCCTGTGCATAAAAAAAAAAAAAAAAAAATCTGTGTAGGACCTAACAACTCAAAACTTAGAAGGCAAATCTGATAAACCAATACATTAAATATGAACTGCCCTCTGTTAAGCAATAACAGTCAGGTGAGTAAAATGATTTCTTACAACATATATAAAAGTGAAATCTAATCATGAAAGTGCATTGGAAAATAGGAGTACGCAGAGGGGAGTGGGTAAACACACGGTGGTTCACCCAGACAAGGGAATGTGAGCTCTAACGAGAAATCAGCCATCAAGTGACGAAAGAACACGGAAGAGCCTTCCACGCACATCACTGAGTGGAAGCTGCCAATGTGAAAAGGCTGTGAGTCCCGATGTGTGCTACTCCGGAAACGACAAGAGTACAGAGACAGTGAAGGGTCAGTGGTGGGAGGGGCTGGGGGGGGAGGGAGGGGTAGTGGGAGAACGAAGGATTTCAGGGCAGCGAGATGCCTCCGTATACGGTTTAACGGGGGATGCACGTCATCGTGTACCTGTCAAAACCTGTAAAACTGTGACAGGGCGAGCCTACTGGGAACTGCGCAGTGTCTGCTAGCGATGAAGTACCCAGTCCGTGACAAGCGTCCCGCATGAATGCAAGGCGTCAACCACAGCGGACACGGTCTGTGTGTTCAGGGGACATACAGGGGAACTCTGCACTTGCCACTTAGTTTTTCTGCTTTAGGTTTCTGAGACTGCTGTAAAAAGTAGCATCTACTAATTAAAACACACACCACAAAACTCAGGTTCTCCTTTCCCCAAGAGGAGCTCATCTGGGCAGGGTGGGCTGCACTATACAGAGAATTGCCCTAAATTGCACAGCGTTCAGGTTTACTTTTCAATTCCTACAAACCCACTAGACCAGAAATAAGGTTCACTTAAAACAGTGTCTAAACGAACTCAGGGCAACCTCGCTTTCCCCTATTTGCCACCACGGCCCGCTAGCCGCCAGGACCGGACAACTGGACACCCCTCGCACCCGCTGCCCGGCGAGCCTTGCCCTCACGCTCCCACAGCCCAACTTCCCGGGAAGCCGTCTGCCTCACTGATCCCACGCCCCACCCGTCTTGCCCCTCCCACACTCTGGCTCGGCTCCCAACAGCCCTACCGGAGGGGGGAGGAGGCCACTTTCGTAGGGGACCACGCTACAACTGGGCTTTCTGGGACACAGCAAGTAACCCAGCAGTGTTTTGAGCAAAGAGTGGCTCGCGGCCACCTCCCCACCTTGCCCAGCAGGCCGCTCAACGGAAAGGGCATTTTCAGCCTTCCTTTTACGAACGCTGTTAGTGCTCCTTCCCGAACCCCCCGCTCCTGGCTTCCCTCCTCCCCTCCCCTCCTCCGGCTGCTTGCCACATGCCCCCGCCCCACCCCATCTCTGCTCCAGGCTTGGCCCTGCTTCTCCACGCCACCCACGTTCACACCGTGCACTTCACACCACCTATGTACTGATCACGCCCAAAGTTCATCTCTAGCCCAGACCGCTCCTGTGACAGACACACGTAACCCACATGGACGTTTCCAGGGCACTTCAAACTCAACACGCGCAAAGCTGACTGTCAACCACACACCCGCCAAAGCCCGGTTCCCCCGCCAGTGCCCCATGTCAGGAAGGAGGACACCCCCAGCAAAGCCCACACCTAGAGCCCCACGGGAAGCTTCTCTCCCAGCTAGTCACTGAGCCCTGTTCCCTCGACTTCTGGGGTCACCTCTTGCTCTCCATTCCCACGGCCTCTGCCTACTCAGCTCTTCAGGCCTGGCCCGTCCCCCACACCAGCTCTCATGCGAGCCAACACGGCAGCCGGGCTCTTTCCCTCTCCGGCGGGAATGCTAGAGGCACCCAGTACACTGTCAATTAATCTGTAATTCCACTGTCGGGTCACGAGGCTCTAAGCAGGAACATCCCCGCGGTATTAGACAAGCTGCAGTAAGTCTGGGAAGGGGGACGTGGGCCTGAGGAACAAGACATCACCAGGCTTTGGGGTGCGCTAATAATTCTTACAGTCAGTCCTCAGACTCAGGCCTCTGGGTTCATGACAGTGAAGGTCCTTACAGGAAGGAAAGAGGAGAAAAGAATACCATGTGGGCTAGAACATGTGAAGGGTTTGGAACTTCCTGCCTCGCCCTTTTGGGGGCCATATATTCATGGGAAGGACCCCCATTCTAGCAAATCCTGATGCCATCTCATGTTTTCAGGGAGGCCCTACCCTGTAAATCCAGGTACTCGTTACCTGACAGATGACTGGTTACACGTACAACAAAGTGTCTCAAGAGAACATCTGCTAGCATTGCGGGTAAAAGCCACTCCCTGGGCTATTCGGTAACACAGGCCTTTGTGCTGGGAGGGCCCATCCCTTCCTTTCTGCTCACAGGCCCTACCTGGAAACCCACCCGCCCACAGCCAGAAAGGACAGGTGTGGTACCCTGTGCCTGTCCTCCAAGCCAGAGAGGTCTAGAAATGCTGACCGGGAGGCACAGGGGACCCGGGACTAACGTGGCCTGGCGGGGGGCAGTCGGGGTCGGCTTCACCCTCGTCTGCTGTCACTTCACACAGTTCACTTTTCGTGGTGTGGGCCCCGGGCAGGGGAGAAAGGCTAGTTTGGATTTAACGTGTGGGATTGTTTTAGGGATCCATAAATCCGGAAAAAGTGCCAGGGGTTGAATCCTGGTGAATACGATTATGATTCCTCATTTGAAAGCATGCCGTTGAGGGTGCACTTCTGAGGAGTTAACCGAGCGCAGTATCTGCAGTGGCGACATAATGAACAGTGTTACCTTAATCTCTTCTAAATTAAAGGGCCATGATCCATTACATTCTTCTGCTTTATCAGGCCTTGAAATTAAAATGAAAAACAACAGCGGTTAGTCTTGGTTGAGATGAGCTCCCAATGCAGGAGGAAGCACTTCCATTAACGTCTGTGGGAGCATCTGCGGGAGCAAAGGCAGAGACAGGCTAAGGCTGTGTGAGTCACTTAACAAAGAACACTCAGGTAGGGGCGGTCAAGGAACCGGCCCAGGAGCAAGGCACACGGTGACTCTCTCCCCGGAAGCAAAGGAAACAACCCAGTAGGGGGAGCTCGGGAGTCAGGCCGGGTCCCAAAGTCTCTGCCCTCTGCCAATCTCCACGCCCACGGGCCCCAGGGAAACTCCCTGTCTTTACAGGAGGATGAGGCTCAATGACGCAGCATACAGACACTGCTCAGAGTGCCTGCCCATGACCCAGGCTCAGCTGGCACAGCTTCTTCCTAAAATCCCAGCACGGGTCCCCTCCCTACTTCCCCACGTCTAATCCTGGACGTGTCAACTCCCGGTCTTCAGATGCAGCTGAGTTCACCAGGCCACCGAATCTACTTCCCAGACCCCCAACATGTCTCCAGTGTCAACAGGCTGGCCCAGCACCCCGAAACCAGCACAGCTCCCTGCCGGGATGGGGGCACACTGTGCACCGTCCTCCCAGCTACAAGTGAAGCGGCAGGAACTTCAGCACGACCCGAGGAAGCCTCGCTCCCTGAGACTGCAGGGTTGGATCACTGACGAGTCTGTGGCAAAGGAGGGGCTGGAGCCGGGTCCCTGGGCCGCAGTCTAATTTGCTGCTCACAGAACCCCATTCCTGAGGAACAAGCACGTACTGACAAAGGCCAGAAGGGCCCCTCCCCCACGGGAGCAGCTGGACAAGGGCATCCCTTTGCCAGGCTGACTCATGGGCACAGTTAAACATGACAAATACATGCACAAAGAGGGAAGAATAAACTACACAAAATGCAGGCAAAACCTGAACGGTGAACTCGGGTAACTGTGTACGATGTAGACACATATACGCACATGTACAATGCACACGTGCTTACTTATTTTTATGCATCTACTTATTGCCCCCAAAGAAGGATAAAATGAGAGGGTTACATTTAGTGACCCCAGCCTGGACCCAGAGTCCCTACCAGCAGATGTAAGCTGGATCATCCCCGTTCCACCCAAACAGAACTAAGCCACAACAAAATTAGGGTACTGAACAAACAGCGAAGATATTTTAAAATAAGGATTTGGTCCACTGAATAAACTAACAAAAATCACTAGTGTAACTCTTAGGACCAGCCTCAATCTACTTTTGGGTTAGCTAGTTTTTTCCTATTTAAACGTGAACGGCGCTAGGGCTTGCCATAATCCGTGGATGGTCCAGTAATCCGGAGGGTCTCTGCAGTCGTTCTCAACCTCCTGCAGAGAAAAGACAGACAGCACATCACTGTTCCGTTGTTTATTTACTGCGGCTTCCAGCCCTGAGGAGCAACCTGGGGGCGGGCGCTCCGTCTGGAAGGAGCGACCCAATCCTCGATTACATAACACAATTAAAAACCGAGTTTTGCTTTTTTTTATGTGTTCTCAAATTAAGTCAATCTAATCGAAACACACCTATTTGCCCATTCATTTTCTTATCGTGTAATCAAAAATAAATGTTTGAGGGCTCACAGTACCGGTGAAGTGAGCTGGTTCAGGCACCGGGTCTGCATGCGCTAGTGATACAGTTAAGTGTGAACGTTACAGAATACGGACGGGAATGCGAGTGCTCTGGAGCGAAAACGCCAAGGTGAGGACAGGACAATAAAGATAAACTCACGGAGATAAAAGCTCACTAGCATACTCTTTAGGGACCTCCAAACTGTTTAGCTAAATGGGGGAGTTCTTCCAAAACAACCATCAAGAAATGTATCGGCTATGGGACCGATGCCCCCGCAGGGAATAAACCCATGAAAAGCGGGTGTGGGTGTCTGGGGAGGAACAAGTGAGGCTCCGGGCAGATTTTCAAGCCTTTCCTGTGGGGATCACCTTCTGTGGGGAGGCAGCTCTGCCCCAGGTTGGTCTGGAAATTAGGGAGGCTCTGGTTTAGGAGACTGGCACAAGGGGGCATGAAAGATACCTGCCACAGACCCGAGAGGGCAGAGAGGCGGGATGACAAAGTGCAGGATCGGGGCGGGGGGCGTATCCTGCACCTCTCCTGACACCCCCGGCTCATCCCTCGGGAAAGCAGGGGGCCCATTTCCCGCAGGTGCCCAACTGGTGAAGAGCAAGGTCAGGACCCACGCCGGGGCCGGGGGGGGCGGTCTTCTGTCGGCCCTACATCCAGTGTCTCAGATGAGTCTCTAAGGGGATGACTGGGACCCAGGGGCAGCTTTCACTAAATCACCAGCAAGTACCTGTCAGTCCCCAGCATGTGCCTGAGGCCCGCGCAGAGCACTGAGGACCATGGAGAAAGACACACCAGCCACCACCCTGTAACACTTCTGTCACTCATGCGGGGAACAGGCCCGGAGACAGCCCCACTGCCCGGGATGACACCAGGGCCAGAGTACCGGGACCCCTTGTCATAGGCACCCTGAGGTGCCCTAACAATTCCCTAACAATGACGCTTCCCTAGCAGAAGATTTTTTTAAAAATCTCATTTCTGAAGCCTCAGGGTAGGAATGCATTTCAGTGCACAAGAACACACCCACATTTTGTCACAGAGATGCCTCAGCCACCAAATGACCTTGCTCCCCGCCCCGAGGCAGATCTTCCGGTGTCACCCAACACGGGAGCTCTCCACACACGGCCGGGCCCGCAGGACCCAGGGCTCCCGCGATGTCCCGCCGCCAGGGTGGAGAGCTAGATCTCCAACAACACTCAGGGCTGGTCACCACGCTCCAGTCTCCGCCCTCCAACACTCCTCACGCTGGAGCACAGCAGCAGCACGAGAGGCAGGAAGCAATGAGGTGTGAAGTTTAGGAAACTTGACCGAGAGAGAGCAGCCTCGCAGCAGAAGCGAGACAAGGCTACAAATGACAGGCCAGCCCGAGGGCAAACGTGGGCACAGAAACCCACTATGCTCGAACGGGCCAGTCAAGGCAGAAAAACTCACCTTGCACACCGTTACAGGCCAGTGGTGAACCATAATCAGCTTTTTCCACTCATGGTTGCCACTGTTAAAAGACAAGGAACTTATGTTTCAAGAACTGTTTAAAGAAAAATTAATTCATCCATCCATTTACACCATCATGCATTCAACAAACACGGAGTGATTGTCACGGGCCAGGCGCTACTGTAGGACGGGGCAACGCTGTGAATGAGGGACCGGGTCCCCAGGCACTACCGTGGGACAGGGGCACTGTCCTGAGCGAGGGACCCGGTCCCCAGGCACTACCGCGGACGGGGACACTGTCCTGAGCGAGGCACCCGGTCCCCAGGCACTACCGCGGACGGGGGCACTGTCCTGAGCGAGGGACCCGGTCCCCAGGCACTACCGCGGATGGGGGCACTGTCCTGAGCGAGGGACCCGGTCCCCAGGCACTACCGCAGACGGGGGCACTGTCCTGAGCGAGGGACCCGGTCCCTACCCTCTTGAAGCACACATGCCAGGGAAGGAGACAGGGCCACGGTAGCTAAGAGAACACACATGGTGCCCCACAGTGACAAGTGACAAAGAATATAAGTAAGCAAGAGGACAGGCATGTCAGCAGTGGAGACAGGAACTGAAATTTTAGGCCAGAAAGCCCGGGAAGGTCTCACTAAAGGTGGGGGTAGAGGCCAGGAGGCAGAGGGAAGGAGCCCTGAAGTGTCTTCCTCCTAGGGTTGGTCACGAGTATAAAAGCAGAAGCATCGTCATCCCTTAGCCACATTTGTGAAACCCATAAGGCCTTCAAACCTGAATTTTTTTTGTGGTTCATTTGGCAACAAAACATGACCTCAACTAGTTTGAGCTGCTTAGTGCTCTACACCCCTCAGCGTGAAGGTGCATGTGCTTGGCCCCACGATGCTCCCTCAGACACGGTGCTCCCTCAGACTCGGTCTGGAGCATGGCCGTGCCCCCCATGACCCACACGTCCTGAAACCCCCTGGCTCTCGGACCTCCAGGTGAGGGGGAGTGGAGCTATGTCTGCAAACAGGTCGAAGCAGGAAGGCTAGCTGGTGAAAACACTCTACAGATGGGAAACGTCAGCGGCCACAAAGGGACTTCCCTCAGACAGACACTTAATTCAGGATAAACTAGATTTTAGAAGGAATGATTCAAAAGTAAAACAGGACCAAGTTCTCACACATTGGCTTCTGTAAAGAGATGAGTCCTGCTGAATAAGTACAGAATCACAATTCAGATGTTACACAAACTTAAAAGTTGTAAGTTGCACTCAGTATAAAAGAGAAAGATGAGCTGCAGCATGAGAACTAGAGCTGAGACAAATGTCAGAAGCTGCTTTTTTCTGGGTGCAAAACCCTTGTTTAGGTGGAAACTGAGACTACAGGATCAAGCTACGGCCAGGGAGGGAGACCACCAAATAGTATGCTATTTACCAGGACTCTATCAAGACTCAGAACGTCTACAACACAAGGTCCACACACAAGCCAGGCAAGAGCAGCGGGGTTGTAGAGAAGCCTCCCCCGAAAGCAGTGCAGAAGCTGCTCTAAAGAGAAAGGCCACCAGGCAGAGGAAGAGAGGAGAGTCACCAAGTTGTCCACCCAGCCAGCGCTTCGGAAAATACCTTCGGACCCCTTAAGTCCTGGAGTGTTGAATCAGCTGCGTTTTCTCCAGAGCACGCCTCGCTCACCGTGGTTGTCCAACTACATCAGTGCATGAATTATGCAGGGATGGGGGTGGCGGGGACCACATATTACAGACTGAGGTCTTTATCTGACATTTACTGACCGCTACTGGCCAGACGTGATTCTAAGCACATTCTGCCTCCCCTCGAATCAACACTTAGGAGGCAGGTGCTGTTGTTATATCCACTTGACAGATGAGCAAAGCCACACAGGGAGCTCCAAGGTCACACATCTGGATGAACCAGTGGCTGGTACTCAACCAGTACCCCATACTACCTCTCCAATGACACACTCGTAACCTGATGGCAAAAACTAATCCATTAATTAACGTAGCTCTTTTTCAGAAAATAAGCTTTCTGGGGAAAGCTGAAATATAGTGTTACCTTTTCAAGTAGATGATAAAACAGCAATGACAATTAAAAAGTAAAACCCACCTTTTCCCTCACCTACCATGTAAGTACGAAAGCTTTTATTAAATACGGTATCATTACCGAAAATAAATAGAAGAAAAAATTAAAATCTGGTGCTCAAAATTTGGTTTCCTCTACAGAGGTGCAACAAGAATCCTCCACAAAACCGCCTGTTTACCCCGGATCTGCTGCACCACTGAATGAAAAGGAAGAAGGGGAAGGCAGGGGGATGAAGAGCCAGCGTAAGAAACTTAAAAAGAGGAACCAGCACCATATCCCCGACGTTGTACTGGAACCTAACCCAAAAGTGCGCGTCTACAATGTCGGAGGGCGTCAGGGCACCTGCCGGGGCCTCGACCCGACCCCAGGCCCCCGGCCCCCCCACTCCCAGGGGTCCCGGCTCACCTTCTCCGGGACCCGCGCGCGCCGCCCAGGCAGCACAGCGCCAGGCAGAGGGAGCTCAGGAGCAGGCTGTGGGGGGCTGCAGGCCTCATCGTGCCCCACACCCGAGGACTACACGCTCACGTGCACAAATGCTCAGCTCTTAAATATCCGGCGCCAGGCCCTGCGCTTCCCTGAAAATGTACACAACTCCTGAAGCCCACCTCTGACCGGCCGGCGGCCGACTCCACCCTCAAGGCGTCCGCCGTCTCGAGGGGGCCCCGGCGCCCCCCCACAGCCCGCCGTCCCGAGGGGACCCCCTCCCGAGCCAGCCGTCCCAAATGGGCCAGGCGCCCCCCACAGCCCGCCGTCCCGAGCGGGCCCCGGCCCCTCCCCCAGCCCGCTGTCCCAAGTGGGCCCCAGCGCCCCCCCAAACCGGCCGTCCCGAATGGGCCCCGGCCAGGGCCCCCGCCTCACCCGGGCCCCCCCAGGCGTGCACACGTCCCTGCCAATGCCGCACCGCGACCCCAACCGCGACCTCGCAGTCGACACCGCCCACAGTCAGGACCTGCGCGTTTCCGTCCCTGGGCGGCCGGCCCCGGACACGCCTCCCTAGACCGGCACGCCCGCGGCCCGGCAGACACAGCCCCGTAGACGGGCACGCCCCTAATCCCGGCAGACACGGCCCGTGACGCCCCGCCACCAGGACACGCCCCCGTAGGCGGGCACGCCCCCGGCTCGGCAGACACACCCCCTGACGCCCAGCCGCCGGGACACGCCCCCGTAGGCGGGGCACGCCCCTAATCCCGGCCCTTGGCTCTTCGCCCTTCGCCCTTCTCCTGCTTGGCTCCTTGAGGAGGCTTCTCCTTCAGCCTAGCTCCCGTCCCGGGCCTGCCTTCTGTGATGTCCTCTGTGTCCCCTGGCGCCTCCTCGCGGAGTTGAATCGCCTGGGATCCCGCGGGGCAGGGCCGCCTCCGGGACGTTCTGCGCAGAGCCCATGACAGGTGTGCTCAGGACCGGGCTTCCAGGGCCTCAGCGAAGTCCAGCCGCAGAGAAGGTGGCCCTCTGGGGCCGTGCTGAAGTCTTAAAGGAGCTGGGGCGCGACTGTTCCCTCAGGACTCCCTGCCCTTCCTGCCACAGGGCCCGTTAGGGAGGCAGCCTGTGACCTTCATGGAGGTCATGTGTGTTCAGTTCCAAGAGTCCGAGGCACGCCCCTACACTAGCCCCACCTAATTGTGTTCAGCTCTGCTCCATTCACACGGTCCCTACTGTGTGCCGCACTTCACAGAAACTGGAGAGCACAGCTGGATATCACAGCTGAAGCTGCCCCCCTTACCCTCCGAGGGCCATCAGCCTGCTTTCAGGACCGTCCAACGGAAAAGCAAAGCTGTGGCAACAAATGAATGTCCTTGGGCCTAAGAACAAAGGGCGTGGGGGGGGTAGGGGCGGGGGCAGATCTGTCAAAGAAGTCGCTAAAATCACTTCCCTTCATCCTCCACCACCTACTGCACTGGCCTTCACAGTCCCTCCTTCTAGGTCCTCAGAAACTATACCTTCATGGATTGCCCAAGACCTCCCAACTGCGAAGGATGTCTCGTCCCTTTGGTTTTCCTGCGGCCCTGACAACCTTCACTGCCTGGGTCTCTTGTGCAGGACCAGGGTGCACACCCGTTCCAGAGGCCCTGGCTCCCACAGCAATGCTGGTCTGTTCGGTTCCCCAGCCATTCACTACCGAGGTAACTCTGCTCCCACCAGTCCCCACCCCAGACCCTTCCAACCTGGTTAATGCCAACCATATTTACCTTCCGAGTAAGGGCATAGCTTCCTCAGGGTCCTTTGTCATCCAGGACCATCTAAGGATCAGGTGCACAGGTAATATGCTCTCCTGGGTGGTGTCTGCATAGTACTTACCGCTGTTTGAATAAAATGTGTGATTATTCTGTAATGTCTGTTTTTCCCTCTAGACTGACCCCTTACCTGTGGGGTCTGATGCTAATTCTAGGTAGTGTCAGAATTGAGTGAAATTGTAGGAACCAGCTACCAGGAAAACCCCCCCATACATGTGGTGACCAGAAGTGGGGTGTTCTGCGGCAGTAGTAAGAGAGACTCACAGGGAAGGGACACACAGACGGGAAGAACTGGGTTTTTCCCTCCATGGAGAAACTCGGTTTTTCCTTGACACTGAGTAAAGGCTGTGTCACAGGGACAAGCAGAGGTGGATCCAACTTGCAGGAACTGGGAGGAACCGGAGGGTGGTATTAACAGCTCCCACGAGACTGCATATTCGGGGACCAGTTGTGAGGTTTAAGAAGTGGAGTCAGCTCGTGCGGAAGCAGGTGCACAGGAGGCAGGGACAGATGGCAATGGCCATTTCTATGAACAGATCATCCTTAAGTCATTGCTGATGTCTCGAAGACTAAGATACTTTTATTGACCAGCTTCCTGCCGATTTCGCTCCTTCTGGTTTCTCATTCCCAAGTCACTTTTACCAGGTTATGCTGCAATGACAAACAGTCCCCAAACCGCAGTGGCTCACTAACTACCCCAACCGAGGTTGACCTTTGCTCACACTCCATGCTGGCTGGAGGTCAGGGGCAGCTGCAGCCCCTGGCCTTCTTCACTCTGGGACCCAGGCTGAAGGAACAGCCACAGCCGCCACATGCCATTCTAACAGCTGAGCTGCAGCAGAACCACACTGTGGCTCTGAACCTGCGCGTCTGATGTCTGATCTTCCACTTAAAGTTTTTTTGGCCCAAACGAGTGACATGGTCAGGATTGGCATCAATAGAGTAGAAAGTGTCCTCCTCCTACAAGTGGGGGCCTTGCTGTCACAGGGCAAATGTCTGGGACACACGGGGAACAACAGCAAATAGCTGGGAAGAGTAATATGGTCTATCATAGGTGAGGAAGCAGAAATAGGACCTTCAACAAACCCAGGTGGGAAAGTGAAGGGTGAGCAGTGTGGACAGCATGCGGGGTCTGGATGGGAGGGCCCTGTGCTGCTCCCACAGAGGGGCAGCCTGGGGGGCAAGGGGTGGAGTAACAGGAAGCTCTGGAGAAGCTCAAACTCCACTGAACAGCTCCACGTGGGCGAGGCGCATCTGTTGGGGGGGGGATTTGTCAGATGCAACTAATAATCACGAGCACTCAGTTGTGAAACAATTGAGTGTGCCGAATGTCAGCGTGCAAGGTTTTCAAACATACTCCTCAAGATCCACGTGTGCTCAAGGATAGAGACTCTGGAAGCTTGCAGGGTCCTGACCAGCCGAGGGAGGACTCTGGCCCACTGGGTTCAAAGCTCATGTTTCCTGGGTGTCTTCCAAACAAACAGCCCTGACCCAAGCCAGGAGGCTCAGGGTGAACAAGGGCTTCGGGCCAAGTGGCCTTGTTTTAGAGCAGAGGGCAGACAGTGGTGAGGAGCCTGGGCTCCGACGGTAGGTACTCCGGTGTAAGTTCAGGTTTTCCCTCTTGCTACCTGTGTAAACTCGGTGAACTAGCTGGCTCCTATAAGCTTTGGTGACCTCATTTGTAAAGTAGGAAAGCAATCCCCTCTAACAGCACTGGGATGATGAAAAGAGACGTCAGTGGTGGTTTAGCAGGAGCCCACTGAGCCTGGTGCAGGTGGGAGCTCAGGGCTGCGTCCTGTCTTACTGCAGACATTCTGGACCCTCCGCTGGGAGGGAAGGACAGCAAGGGGCTCCTGGTGGGAACTCTGCAGATTCTGCCTTAGCCCTGAGCCTGGCTCTGGGGGGCTGCTTGTAGACCTTGTGTGTTTAAGGTGTGAGGGACAACTGTGGTCCCCATCTCTGCTGTGTCTGCTTAGGATTCTCAAGCTCTAAATAGCTTTGCCGCCGTTAGGGAAATCTTCTTTTAAAAACACCTTTGTATTCTAAATTATTTGTATGCTGAGAAAGTTAGGACACTTTCTAAATGTTTTCACTCTGATCTTTCTCCTTTTTTTTTTAAGATTTTATTTATTTATTTGATTGAGAGAGAGTGAGCATGCACACAGGAGCTGGGAGAAGGGCAGAGGGAGAGGGAGAAGCAGACTCCCCGCCAAGCAGGGATCCCAACGTGGGGATTGATCCCAGAACCCCAGCATCACGACCTGAGCCACCCAGGCGCCCCTGAGCTTTCTCTTCTTATCGTATCAATATTTGTGACCTCTCCATGTGGTGTGGCTACTGTGGTGGTAATTTTGTGGACCTGTTTCTTCTGGGCAGTGACTACCACAAAACAGGGATGGGAGAGGAGTAGGGAGGTCAGACGAGGGATTCTCAGGGTAATGTTTTTTGAAAATGTCACTTTAATAGTTGGAACCACAAAGAAGAAACTTTCTGGAACAGAAAGTGACTAAATCAAATCAAACAGCATGAGATTCTGAAATGTGAGATAAAAGAATAGACAGCTGACCCTTGGACAACTCAGGGGTTAAGGGCACAGAGCTGTGCAGTCAGAAATCTGCATATAACTTTTGACTACCCAAAACCTCAACTACTAATAGCCTGGGTTGACCAGATGCCTTACCAATGACATTAAACAGTCGATTACTATGTATTTTGTATGTTGTATGTATTATATACTATAATCTTAAAATAAAATAGAGAAAAGAAAATGCCATTAAGAAAATCATAAGGAAGAGAAAATACATTTATAGTACTGTACCATCCATTAAAAAAAACCGCATATAAGTGGACCCAAGCAGTTCAAGCCATGTTGTTCAAGAATCAACTGTATTAACTTTATTCTTTGATAACAAAGTTTAGACTTCAAGGTCAACGAATTATTATCAAATGTTTACCTAAAAAGTCTATTATTTATGATATTTTTGACTGCTCTCATAAAAGGCTCTGAATGGGCGCCTGGGTGGCTCAGCCATTAAGTGTCTGCCTTCTGCTCACGTCATGATCCCAGGGTTCTGGGATCGAGCCCCGCATCGGGCTCCCTGCTCCGCGGGAAGCCTGCTTCTCCCTCTCCCACTCCCCCTGCTTGTGTTCCCTCTCTCCCTGTGTCTCTCTCTGTCAAATAAATAAAATCTTAAAAAAATAAATAAATGAAAAGCTCTGAAAAAGGAACAGAAAAAAAGATGAGCTCACTCACCTATATATGCAAACGTGTTCTCACACCCGCACACACATTCATATACACTTCTATATAGATATTAGAACAGACTGTTTACTTGGGCTATTTTTAACAATTATTTATCTTAAAAGAAGTAAGCAATCTACTGTAGACTTCTGAGGGGGTCCTACCTAACTGAGCTGCTCTCCTTCAGAGAAACATTCTGCATTATGAAAAATAGTTGAATATTGCATGAATAGTTCATGTAGTGGATATTCTCAAAATTTAGTCCTGACTTACAGTTTTTAGGAGCTGAGAGAACACCCAAACATACTGGAAAGAGCATGCACTCTAAAGCCAGCCATTGGGTAGATAAAACCGTCTTCATTGCCCACCATGTGGCGTTAGTGGCTGGGGATGTGCCCATCAGCCCCTGGGGGTGGGGGGACCCAGCCCCCTGCGCTCATT